AAAAATGACCAATAGAGGATTCAAAAATGTCGCTGAATACCACTTTATGCATTTATTTTAGTAATTGCAAATTTACGCCCCTTCCTCCCATCGATACAGCTGGCAACAATTTATGAATATATGAAAGCAAGAAATCTCACCAAATCGTAGAAATTATAGTATCATCGGGGAAGTGAACGTAGAAAAAAAGAAATGAAATATGCGATAATAGTGTGCAGAGTAATATCAATATTTTTGTCGTGTCTTGCCACAGCACAGACAATGATCTAACCATTCTGAAATGATTGTGATTTCAACAAGGCACACTGATTTCAGAATATTTTCACATTACAATAGGTCGAATTCAAAAAAAAAGCTCTTATAATTACTCTATATGTGAGACGATTGTTCTCAGAATTACTGAAATTGGTAAAAATGATGTTAATGATATTACTGGGATACTCCCTCTGGCAGTGTTACCGATGATTGGGGGCATAACACAGTGGCAAGTGGCGCAGATCGTTTAGAGCTTATAATCATTTATATCCGTAGAGTTTACCGCACCAACCTACCAGTCCCCTTTTACAGTTACTTCACTCCTCACAATTGGTAAATCAATACTGGTTAATGGTAGGAAGGGGTAATCACGAAATTCAAATAAATACCGAGAATATCAAGACTGTCCGGCCTACCAGAGCGGGTATTCCGTGTTAGTGTTGTTACTGGTGCAGTTATACCAGGCTCAAAAACCCCTAAATAATTATTAATAAAAAATAAGCAACTAATAAGAAACACTGATAATAATTAACAACAAAACCGTTCCACACAAATTTTTATTTCTCATTTATAAGTCTCTCGCCTCTTTCAGTCGGTAAGGTACCTACCTCATCGTGGTCTAGGAGTGGCAACATTCCGAAAGAGGTGGCAGTACTCACTACACACAACGAACAACTCGAAAAAATCAAAATCCTTGATAGTTGTGAGACAAAAGGAACGTCAGGATCGCCAGTAGACGACTAATCAACAGGTGGTACTATTAAAGCAACCAAAAAAACTGTCAGTTGCATGACTGGAGAACCAAACTATGAGTTGGAACAAGTGCGAGTAAAAAAACTTACTCGTCGATTCGAATATAAATGATCAGTGAGAAGATGCACATAACAAGTTGTAAATTGAATAACACATGGATTCGGCATAGCTGCGCGTGGTACATGCCGTGGGCTAGCAGTCGCATTACTCCCAGGCATATCTCTGCTCCTAACACTGCTGCCAGCACAGCCGCCACAAACTTCATGTTTTCCCGTAAAATCGCTTTCTTCTCGAGCAACATCATCTGCTGCAAGCTCATTGCGCTGGATTATAGCCTGACACAAAATGCACATGCACTGCACTGTGAAATGGGCTTCGATAACACAGCTAAGCAGCGAATATCACAAAAAAAAGCTGCTCGGGAGACAAAAATGAGGGAATCTGATGGTGAAGAAGGAACGGGGGAAAGAGGGAACTCCCTCGGAACAACGACATCCACATACAATGACGAAATTCCGAGGGTGCCTATATGTTTTGATCATCGATGATTGTCCTCGAAAAACGAAAAGAGGCGATTAGACTGCGAAGTAAAAATTTCCACACCTGGCAGCTAATGCATGACACAGACAGCAAACAGAGCAAGTCTCCGCAGACATCCAGAAAAATGCTCAATACCCC